ACTACTACTACTCCCGTGTGCCCCAGCCTTAATAAAGCAGATAAAGCCCCAATGCACAACTGCCACGTGGACTTTTCTCATAGGGTGCCAAGTCACAGCGTGCCAACTCATTCTGATAAGGAGTTGTTTGTCACAGACTACAGGGGAAACCAGCGCCATCTTGTAATGGCGGCCACAGTTCACAGAAACGGCTCACCACAATATGCCACATTTTTTTTTTTATCCATTCATCTACTGAAGGGTACAAAGGTGCGAAAAACATACATTGGAGGAAAGATAGCCTCTTCAACCAATGTTACTGGAAATCCATATGCAGCAAAATGAAATTAAACCCCTATCTCTCACCATGCACAATTCTCAATTCAAAGTGGATCAAGGACCTAAGAATTAAACCAGAGAGTCTGCATCTAATAGAAGAAAAATTAGGCCCTAATCTTCATCATTTGGGATTAGGCCCCAATTTCCTTAATAGGATTCCTATAGTGCAAGAATTAAAACCAAGAATCAATAAATGGGATAGATTCAAACTAAAAGGTTTCTTCCCAGCAAAAGGCGATCTGTGAGGTGAACAGACAGCCTACATCTTGTGGGCAAATTTTTACCCCTCACACAGATAGAGAGCACTAATCTCTAGAGTATATAAAGAACTCAAAAAGCTAAGCACCAAAAAAAAAAAAAAACAAACAAACAAATAACCCAATCAATAAATGGGCCAAGGACCTAAACAGACACTTCTCAGAAGAAGATATACAATCAATCAACAAATACATGAAAAATGTTCAACATATCTAGCAACTAGAGAATTGCAAATCAAAACCACTCTAAGATATCATCTCACTCCAGTCAAAATGGCAGCTATTAAGAATACAAACAATAATAAGTGTTGGAGAGGATGTGGGAGAAAAGATACACTCATACATTGCTGGTGGGTCTGCAAATTGGTGCAGCCAATATAGAAAGCAGTATGGAGATTCCTTGGGAAACTTGACCACCATTTGACCCACCTATCCCTCTCCTCGCTCTACACTCAAATGAATTAAAAACAGCATACTACAGGGACACAACCACATCAATGTTTATAGCAGTACAATTCACAATAGCTAAACTGTAAAACAGGTCCTCCCCACCCCCCCCCCATGAAAATCAGAGTGTTTTGGGTTAGCAGTTTTGCATGATCTTGGGAGGAAAAACTGACAGTTACAAGATTTTCCTCTGGGCAAGTGCTAGGCAAGTGCTCCTCCTACTTTCCCAGCCTAGCTGGCTTCTTTTTTCTTTTAAAGTATCCACCAAGCAGGGATCTGTGGTGCACTCCTGTCATTCCAGTGGCTCAGGAGGCCAAGATAGGAGGACCACAAGTTCAAAGCTAGCCTCAGTGATGGTGAGGCACTTAGCAACTCAGTGAAACCCTGTCTCTAAATAGAATACAAAATAGGGCTGGGATTGTGGCCCCTGAGTTCAATCCCCAGTACCAAAAACAAAACAAAACAAAAAAACACCAAAAGAAGTATCCACCAAATCACCTCACCTGCTTTCAGTTTTCCAAATTGTTCCTAGTATAGTTCCAAATACAGTGTGTGCCACTGTTAATTGATCCCCCTTCCACCAACCTATGGAGTGATCAGAACCTCTAGCAGGCTTCACCCTCATGTAAGGTAGCAGTATAAACTTTCCATGAATATAAAAATGTCTCCCTAGGAGCAAGTTGTGGGGAAAAACATGGCAGTTAGATTTTCTTGAAATGTTGGGGAGGGGAAGGGTTTTCCAAGATATGTCATTATAGTTGTTTTTTAAAGATATTTTGAAAATTATCTTTTGTTGTAGATGGACACAATACCTTTACTTACTTATATGATGTTAGGCAAGTGCTCTACCACTTAGCCACAACCCCAGGCTCTAATGTACCTTTTATTTAAAAAGTTTCATCTGATGCCAGAAGGCAAACAACTTACACTTGAATTCTGCAAGTTAGCAAAACACTTCCTACAATGAAGCCACCCGTAAGGACTTTCATGTCTTAGTGGTTCCTTAGCACAGGGCTGATTGTATTGCTGCCTATTCCCACCATATCCTAGAGYCTCAGAAACTCCCTTCCTTACCCCATACCTCAGTTCACCTGCCTTCCCAGCTTTTTTCTCTCTCCAAATGGGATCCTAATCCATCAGAATATTAAAACCGGAGGCTGCTTTCAATAGGTAGAAAGACATAATTTTTTAAAAAAATGTTGAATTGTTAGCGTCCATCATTCTCTTAAATTCCTGCTGTGGTTTTTCAAATACATTTTAGGCAGAACTCTGTTGTGTCCCTGCCTGCTCTTTTAGAACACCTCCAATTTAGAGTATACTTTTTATCTGACAGGTAAAGCAGCACTGGATTTTCTTTGTATTCAACACATTGTTCAAAAGGATTCAGAGAAAGAGAAGTCCTTACCTAAAAGGCCTAGATTCTACAAATTCACAAAGATTCTGGAACACCATCATTCCCAGATTGCTTTTGAGAATATCTTTATTTGAATACTTTGGGAAAGAGAAGATTAAAAAAAAAAGTTTCATCTCTTTACTAAAGGAACAGGAATACTGCTCAAAAGCATTGAGGCAGAAAACCTATCCTGATGAAAAAGAAAATCCTGAAACTTTGAGAACAGCAAGAAGGAAAATTGGGAGAGTATGGAGCCCTGAATTAAGAGTACAGATATTATCAGTACAGTGCACTTGGACAGACACACCTGAGCAGCTTAGTTGACAATCATAGAGGAGCTGGTGGACAACAAGTTGACGGAGGAGGTTGAGAAGTTCCTAAGCCTCCTCGACCTCTTCCTCTTCATCCTCGTCGAACTCTCCCTGTTCCTCAGCAGTGGCATCCTGGTACTGCTGGTACTCGGCCACCAGGTCATTCATGTTGCTCTCAGCCTCAGTGAACTCCATCTCGTCCATGCCCTCACCTGTGTACCAGTGCAGGAAGGCCTTGCGCCGGAACATGGCAGTGAACTGCTCAGAGATGCGCTTGAAGAGCTCCTGGATGGCTGTGTTGTTGCCAATGAAGGTGGCTGACATCTTGAGGCCCCGCGGTGGGATGTCACACACGGCCGTCTTCACGTTGTGGGGGATCCAGTCCACGAAGTAGCTGCTGTTCTTGTTCTGCATGTTGAGCATCTGCTCGTCCACCTCCCTCATGGACATGCG